AAAATATTTTAAGACATTATTTAGAGTTCTATTATCGTGGGAACAATAATCTGGGCCTTAATACACCCATTATTACTTGATGCATGCACTTGCGCACTTGGGTTGGAAGTAAGGGAACAACTATGTTTTCCATTGCTAAATTAGAACAGAGGAACGTCCCCTATCAGAATACATATTTTTTCCACCATCAGCAAACCACCCAACAAACATCTCTATCTATAAGACAAATCAGCATGCCATTGTCAACACTTACGTTTATGGGCTTCGTTTGTTTGTATTTTGCTGTACAAGTTTAATTCTCCTGTCCAAACTCGATACTAAGAGGACATTGAGGCCCAAAATTCAGAAAAAGGATGAATATTCAATTTCATATAATATATGCATGGTCTATACTTTGGTTGTTTAATATAATCCGCCACGTCTCATATATATATATATATATATATATATATATATATATAAAAGGCAATTCTTTATCAAATCATAATCGTTGATTTCTGTCAATCAACGGTTATCATTTTCGTCAATCAAACTCATTAATTAATTATTAATTCTCAATAAATGATAACAGATGATGGACGAAAATCAACGATTATAATTTGATATCAAATTTTAAAGTTATAAATTCTAAGATTGTCAACTCCCCCTTAAGAGGAAGCTTCTTGAATTATTGATGGGGTTATCGACCAAGAGGGAGCATGTCGTGGTTCTATAACATGAGTTTGTAAACTTTACAAATTCAAACATCAACTACCATCTCCTAATATTCGGTATATATATATCAATTAACCATTGACTTTGATAACACTATTAGATAGCAGTCAAGGAAAGCCCAAATTAAAAAAAAAAAAAAACCATCGCCCACATATCAATGGGTCCAAGCAACAAATTCATATAAAGAGATTTAACATCACATTTTAACTCAAAATCTTAAGATATTTGGTTGATGAATAATTCTACTTGTGTTATGTTTAACTCATTCCTTCTTTATACAAAAATTTTTATTGCTCACACTTAAATTTTCAATAAATTAAAGATGAACCGTTACAAAATTGTCTAGTACGCTTTGAATATATCAGAAATTCTCCCATCGAACAATCCAAATTAACTTCCACCCTATTTGACGGTGTCTACTCAAAGCTGTGCGCAAATTGTTGCTATTATTAGTCTTTTCATACTTTTTTTGGTGGAGACTTTTATTAGTCTTTAGACTCTTTACTCTACTTTGTTTAAAGTTGAGATGTGTTGGCCCTATTTGTTTGATGTGTTTACAAATTTTTGTTATAAATTATATTAAGTATGATCGGTCATATACTCTTGATTGATGTATAACGGATTATACTTAGTGTAGTTTGTAAACAAAAAATTTGTAAATATAACATTCCCCTTATTTTATATAGAGGTTGGATCTTTTGACACCAGTGTCAAATTTAACACTTCATCTGAGAGCCGTTAGATAAAAAAAGATCAACGACTCTGATTTGTAAGCTTGTGACACTATTGATATTTTTTTATCTAACAGCCAGTGGCGGAGCCACACCAAAATTTTAGGTGGTGCCAAAAATTTTAGACATATTAAATTATTAAAATATTTATTATAATTACACAAACTAATCAGGAAAAAAATTTACTATAAATTCTAACATAGTTATCTAAATTATGTATTAAATAATATCACGTAACATTGAAAGTTCAAATGAACAATTATCAATGATTATATATCAAAGCAAACATATAAAAAGGCACTAACCTTTTCGATAAGCATTTTAAACATAAGAATTTCACTTTCCTCTCACAGCATAATAAGTAGAGGATATGTTATTTTATCTACTATTTTTTTCGTCTAGCTTTGCCTATCACTCTCCAACATCGTTAAATCAGAATCTTAATAAGAGAAAGAAATAATAAATGTAACTGAGATTCTGATCCAATGGTATTAAAGAGTGGTAAGCAAAGGTAGGCAGAAAAAAATGGTAGGTAGAATAACCTATCCCAATAAGTAATGGACCAAGTATTGTCCTAAGGATATGAAAACACACAAATATAATAAATATATGCTTCATAACATTTAATAAATAATTTTAAATATAATAGAAAAATGTATACCTAAAATTGTAAACGACGCTCTTTTAAACTGACAAAATCTGCAAGGATAGTATCTCGTAATTCTTGAATAAGTTACTTTGTACTTGAAACTAATTGTATATCATTCAATATATCTTGAGTGTAATGCTTGAAAAAGAATTTCAGTGATGCTCATTATCTCTTTCATCAAAAATAAATTAAAAATAAATTTAAAGGAAGTGATCATCTTATAAGCTGCAGTAGCATCTCTTCTTTGAGAGTAATTTGAACCTTCACTACGAATTATTTTAAGTAAGTAGTATCTCTTCTTTGGAAATAATTTGAGCCTTTATTATGATTGCAGTTGTAAGTCACAAATTAAGACTTTGAAAGTAATTTTAATTGATGGGTTAGGTAAAAGGGTTTGGGTATTGAGTTTTATTTTTCTGATTGAAAAACATAAATATAATTATATTTATTTAGGTGGTACCAAATTACAAATTTAATCTTAATTAATTATAATTAATTATATATTTATATATAACAAGTAAATTTTTTTAAAACCAAGCAGGTGCCAAGGCACCTGCTGGTATAGGAGTGGCTACGCCACTGCTAACAGCTATCAGATGAGATATCAAATTTTAAATTTGACACTGATATCAAAGTATCCTAAGTCTTATATATATTTGCTTTTAGATACAAACTTGATTGTTAGCCTGTATATTTGTTATGCTATGCAGTAGCATATGTATTTACTATTTAGCCTAGATATCTCTACGTATTTCCAAAAATATACATATATGCGTCACACGTTTTTAAAAAAATAAGACAATGTACCCAAAAAAAAAAAAAATAATAATAATAAGACGCGTGAGACATGCCATATATTAAAATTATAAATATTTTAAGCAAACCTTTAAATATGTAGCATCTCATGTTAAATATTTTCAGATGTTAAATCTTTCAAAACAGCTTTGTGGATATGATAATGGAAGGTCATCTCCTAGACCCACAACAATTATGTAATTGACCATCGCTACCAATTGATCGATTTTCATAAAATAAAAAGGTTACTTCTTTAGGGAGGCAAAGAAAACGATAATCATGCTGTTTATTATTCAGTTTATTTTTGGGTTTATTATTATTTATGTTTTAGAAAATAAATTTAACTTTTATATAAACATAACAATATCCAGGGTTAATGTTTTATTTTTATTTTTTTATCTTTTCTCCTCGCAATAGACCCTACATAATTATATATGTATATAGAAAATAAATTTATCTCATATAAAATGAAAAATATTTAACGCTTTATTTGTTTGGATTATCCAATGTTAATATCTCGATAAGCGAATCTGAATATTCAAAATGCTAAAGCTAAAGCATTTCTCAATAAATAATAGTTACAAATGGGTTGGGCGTGAGCTGACAACTTGTGTTTAAAAATAACTGGGGCGTAGAAATATGATTTTTTTAAATTGATCTCACATAAATTAATTAGAGTCTAAGATCACGTGTTGAATTGATTTATCCCAACTTGGAGAAATGAAAATAAAGTTGGGACAGAAAGGAGTCGATGTGATATTATTCGTCACCTAACTTGTTATTAAAATCTCCCATAGATCGGGACCCTTTTGCTTTTTGCTGTACATGTCTTAATAAATGCTTGGCATGAAAGGATGAGTACGTATTTCAATGGTAACTACAATTTTTTTTTTTTTTTTTTTTGTAATTTCCGATAATTGATAATTAGTATGTATTTGGATTAGTTTATTTTATTTCAAATATTTTATAATTATTTTTTTAGTTCACATTCGTCGATGTCTCAAAATACAATGGATCTAGATTTATTATGAGATAATGTGAAAAAGTAATCATGTGGTCACCATTCATTTATTATGAGATAAAGGAGAGAAAAATATATAATTTTTTAAATGAATAATTATGATCAAATAATATGACTATATGATCATTTCTTCACAAGAAAGATCCAAATCCAAATACAATAAAGATGAGAAAAGAAAGAAGAGACGGGTGGCACCAGATATTCAACACAAACCCTTAAACCAACGATTAATTTTGAAAATGAATTTTCTAATGTGTAATTGAATATGATTATTTTATGAGAGATGATTTTATCATTTATAGGTAAATTAAGGGTTATTTTTACTCTCTTTTTTTTCATTATCGCTGATTTGTCTACTAACGATTATATCCCCTCCCACAACATGATAACGATAAATCACATGTGAGATTATTTACTCCAATTAAATTTTGAGCCAAAAAAACAAAAACAAAAAAAGGAATGGTGTTCGGTTAATTGTATCCTAAATCGATTAGTTAATTGCAATTATTCACTGACTTTGCATTCGTTACTGTGTCTCTTGAAGAAAAAGTAAACTGAAAATCGAACAATAATAATAGACAAATAAGTTGAAGAACAAGTCAAAATATATATCTGAAAATTGAATAATTAAAAAGGTAGATCTTTTGATATCGGTGTCAAATTTTAATTTTGACACCTCATCTCAGAGCAGTTAGATCAAAAAAGATCAATGATATCATATGCTTACAAATCAGAGTCATTGATTTTTTTGATCTAACGACTCTAAAATAAGATGTCAAAATTAAAATTTGACACCAATATCAAAGTATCCTGCCTCGTAATTAAAATATGCGGATTTTTTCTGACTAATTTGAATGTGAAACAGAAGATAGAGACGATGACGAATTACTGACGTGTAGCCACGTTAAATAGTAGACAGTAATATTTTTCTTACAAGCACTTGCTGTGATCTCTGTATCTCGTGTACCTCAATAGTGTATTACTCAAACATCATAGTAACCTATTCATTCATAATATTACTTCATTCACTCGCTTGTTCTGTAGCTCTATAGCAGGTGTCTTCATCAAGTGAAGAAAGATCTTAACAAAGATGAGTTTCAGGGAAGAGAATGAAGAGGGAAGGGATCTAAAGAAGCCATTTCTTCATACAGGAAGCTGGTATCGTATGAGTGGAAGACAATCCAGTTTGTTTGGATCCACACAAGCCATTCGTGACTCCTCTATCTCTGTCTTTGCTTGTGTTCTCATTGTTGCTTTGGGTCCTATTCAGTTTGGCTTTACCGTAACAATCTTCTTCTTCTTCTTCTTCTTCTTATTATTATTTTTTTTTTTTTTTCTTTCATTATAATTTTGATCATTTCTGGCAGGCGGGTTATACATCACCTACCCAATCTGCTATAATCACTGATCTAGGCCTCTCAGTTTCTGAGGTGTGTGATTTGAATCATCAATGAGAATGAGTCTATGTCTATGTTGATTTGGTTTCATCTTGTTCTGTTTTGTAGCTTCATTGTTTGGTTTCTTTTTAATGGCCAGTTCTCTTTGTTTGGTTCTTTGTCCAATGTGGGTGCCATGGTTGGAGCAATAGCTAGTGGCCAAATTGCTGAGTATATAGGGCGCAAAGGGGTAACCATTTTTTATTTTCTTTTTATTTTTTCTTTTCAATTCAATTTTTGATGGTTAAGGACTAAGGCTAACTCAAAGGTCAACGGCCACTCTTAAATTGCAGTCTTTGGTTATTGCATCTATTCCAAATATTATTGGTTGGCTTCTCATCTCATTTGCTAAAGTAAGTTTGGATTATTTCATTTTCCCCCATTTATTTTGTCCATCCAAAGATAAATAAATTTTCAGTACTCAGCTTCTCTTCTTAACATTTTCTTCATCTTTCAGGATTCTTCTTTTCTCTATATGGGAAGGTTGTTGGAAGGGTTTGGCGTGGGAATAATATCTTACACTGTAATTTTAAAATCTTTTTTTGTTTTTTGTTTCACTTTTGCTTGTGTGGGATTAAGTTATGTGAGACACAATTTTTAAGTGTTCAAATTCATAGGTTCCGGTATATATAGCTGAGATATCGCCTCAAAACTTGAGGGGAGGTTTGGTTTCAGTTAACCAGGTTGGTTGATACCACTAAGAGTTAGTGTTAATTAAAAGTTTAATTAACACTTCTTAGATTTGTAAACTTTTTATTCTTTCTATTCCGCATAGCTCTCTGTCACCATTGGAATTATGCTGGCTTATCTGCTGGGGCTTTTTGTTCAATGGAGAATCCTTGCAGTTCTAGGTAATAACCCTATAAAACTTAGGGAATTGTTAAATGACCCCTTGCCTTCAAATTGATGGATTTATGTTTCTTGTATCTATCAAATGTCATACATTAAATTTGGGGATTTTTGGTTAACCCAGTTGTGGGTTAAATCACAATCAGAATGTGCCTCAGATCAACTAAATAATTACATTTGTTCCCTAAAGGGAAAAGACATTTTATTCCAGCATTACTACATAATGAAGACTTGTATGTTAACTAAGAAAATTTAAATTAAGCAACTTTAGCCCTTACTCATGCAGGAATTTTACCATGTACGTTATTGATACCTGGTCTATTTTTCATTCCCGAATCTCCTAGATGGCTGGTAAGCTTTGTGAATCAGTGTTCTTAAGTATCGTCAAATATGCGATGATAGTTTCTAAAAGTGAACTTGGTTTGCTGAATACAGGCAAAAATGGGCATGACAGAAGAATCTGAAACTTCCTTGCAAGTGCTCCGTGGGTTTGATACTGATATTTCTGTCGAAATGAATGATATTAAGGTAATTAGCACTCGCTTTGAGGTTTTGATACTAATATTTCTGTCCAAGTGAATGAAATTAAGGTAATAAGCATTCATCTATTTTGTTGTATTGAATGACCCTCATGATTCCTGATGTCAAATATTTTTAGTACCATTTATGGTGTCATAAAATTGACTTTTAAAGTGGGATAAGTCATTTTATTCAGAGGGCTTCTGCATCGACAAACAGAAGAACTACAATTCGATTTTCAGAACTCAGACAAAGAAGATATTGGCTTCCCTTAATGGTATTTCTTATTTGTCTAGAAACATTAGTTTCAAACCATCTTCGCAACAATGACCATCAGAGACTAACCAGTTTTTACTAACTCATATCCTGTAGATTGGAATCGGACTGCTTATCTTGCAACAGCTTTCTGGAATTAATGGTGTTCTTTTTTATTCCAGTACCATCTTTCAAAATGCTGGTATGCTATACTGATTTCTTATAAATGTTCTAAAGCAATCTACTAGAGCAATATTAGAGAATCATGAAACATTTGGGCTAGAGTTGATATCTATTTTTTATTTTTTTGGTATCCAAGTCTGTTTAATCCAATTCGAGCATTGTCAGACCCATTTTGGGAACGGCTCTCCCAACACCATTTTCTTCATTTTCAAGACTCGATCTCGAGATCTCTGGTTAAGGGGAACGGACTATTGAACTAATGGTTGTTGTGTTATCTCATGTTTGTATGACTTTCAATAACACTCTGTCCAAAATGCTGGTATGCTATAAAAGTATTCTAAAGTAATGTACTAGGAGCAATGTTAGAGAATCATGAAACATTTTGACTAGAGTTGATATTCTCATGTAAGTTATTGATGTTGATCTTACAAAAGGAAAAGGCATAGTTTTTAGATTGGCTTGTGTTTCAGTTATCATTCTGTTATATACAAATTTCTTCTTTATTCTTATCATTTCTACATATATTTATATTAAACAGGAATTAGTTCGAGTGATGTAGCTACATTTGGAGTTGGTGCAGTTCAGGTTCAGCTGAAGGAAACTTGTAATATTCCCATTTTTTTATGTCCAATATTCTCAAATTAATATCTGAAAAATATACACATGTCATCCAGGTTCTTGCCACCAGTCTAACTTTGTGGTTGGCAGACAAATCTGGTCGGCGGCTTCTACTTATTGTGAGTCTGAACTTTTCTATCATGTTTAATTACACGTGACTATTTCTTTGGAGGATTAGAAAGAGAATAGTCAGATCTCCCATTGCAGGTCTCTTCAGCTGGAATGACTTTTAGTCTCTTAGTTGTTGCAATCGCATTCTACCTGAAGGTAATAATATTTTTGATTTTGTTTCTATCCACACAGCATACTATACATTATTTATTACATGCATGATGCCTGTATGTGCACGAAAGTGTGTGTTCAGAAATGGGTATCACAGCCCCTATGAACAATTTGCTTGCTGTTCTTTGTGTTTTTCATTTTTTTTAGATGGTTAAATTTGTCTTAAATTTGCTCCCAGGGTTATGTGTCAGAGAATTCTTCTTTATATGGTATATTGAGCCTATTGTCGGTGGCTGGAGTTGTGGTATGTGAATACATGCAATTTCATTATACTAATAAAGTTTTTCATTGCTTGTTTCCATAAGTATTTTATTTTAAACTTCCAATTCTTTCAGGCCATGGTTATTGCATTCTCTTTGGGAATGGGAGCTATGCCATGGATTATAATGTCTGAGGTACCATATTTTGTGATTTTCCTTTTAGGCTCTTGTTCAACGTACTGAAATATGCTGCAATAATAATATGCATGATTATTCTATTTTGTTGGATTTACTCACCTTTAACTCCCCTGCCCCTTCCCAAAAAGCTACATTTCTAGCTGGTTCTTATAAATTATACATGTAGGAGTAATGGAGTTAGAATCTCTGACAACCCAAAAACGAACTACATTTTTCTTTGGCACCCAAAAGAAAAACAAAGAAACTTCCATTTTAGTGTTTGTTTTAAAGTGCTGAAAGTCCAAAGTTTACTTGTACTTCAGTACGGGAATCCCAGGATCTGATGGGTTACCATTTTTAAGATGCATAAATACTGCACAAATCACAACACTCTTTGCAGATCATGTATTTTAGGAAAGAGAACTGATTGTATGGATATCTAACTGTATTTGCATGTAAGACATCAGTTGTTGAAATAAAATTATAGCCTGCGTTGTTGGTTCCATTTGAAGTGAAAACTGAAGTGTTGAATATTGCATCATAGATTCTTCCGATTAACATTAAAAGCCTTGCTGGAAGTGTTGCAACACTTGCCAATTGGTTCTTTTCGTGGTTGGTTACATTGACAGCAAATTTGCTCTTGGACTGGAGCTCTGGAGGTTTGTATGCATTGCCTGTATTTTCCTCTAAATACTTTTGTTATTAAATACTTTTGTTAACCAGAACCTACCTCTCTTCTTCTCAGGAACCTTCACCATTTATACAGTAGTATGCGCTTTGACCGTAGGATTTGTTTCCATTTGGGTCCCTGAAACAAAGGGGAAAACTCTAGAAGAAATCCAATTGTCTTTCAGATGAAGTTTTTTCTCCAGCAGCTTTTGTTTTATTTTCTCTTTCAGTATACTTCTATAGCTTATAGAAAGTGAGAGTATCATTTGACGTTTTAAAATCAAGTCCTATCATGTAAACACTTTATCAAACAAATTGATCAGACTGTTGGTTCAGTTTACAAATTGAATACGCTTACTAATAGCTTTATTCCGTCATACCTGTTTAGTAATAAATCTGTGATTAATATGAAGTGGTGGTAGAGATCAAAAGGACTCGTGTGACAGAGAAGTATACCTCAACTTTGATTTAAATAAGATATTTAAGCACTTGAATCTTTGGTGCGGCAACATAAACTGATTTCGCCAAAATGTTCGAGCAAAGTGTTGTGCAAAGTGCAACATCAACTAACAAATTAGAGAAAAGGAAGAAATGAGTAATTACTTAACAAGCATTGCACATTTTTAAGATGGGAAAAACCTTCTGAAAAAGCAGGAATGAGACTTACGAAGCGAGTCGACTAGAAGTTTACAGAAGAGTATAATGCACTTGTAAATTGTACACAGCGAGAAACACAATGTTTTACAGCTGAAAAAAAAATCCTTAAAGAGCATTAACAGTAAATAAAACCAATTCAGGAATTCCTCGCATCATATTATTCCAGACACCTGAATTTGACTAAATGGAAAGCCACAATCATCAAACACAAAATAACCAATGAATTACACTATGAAGATATCATCTACAACAGAGAGACAGATGGTGGATACAAATGAAGGGTACCCTGAATTCAATTCTAACTAATATGTTACTGAGCTATGTGACTATTTCCACAGGATACTTATCAATGCAATCTTCCCAGGGTCCATTAGGGGATGGCCTCACATTACGAAGTGCCTCCCAGACTGCACTGTTACATTTAAAACCACTTCCAAATGCAATTTGCCAAATCCTGTTGCCCTTTCGCATCCTTCCTTTGGCTTCTATATAGGCCAATTCATACCAAATGGAGCTAGACGAAGTGTTCCCAAAACGGTGAAGGGTCATCCTAGAAGCCTCTACATGCACAGGAAGCAGCTGGAGATTCTTCTCCAACTCATCAATTACCGCCCTTCCACCGGCATGTATGCAGAAATGATCGAACGCGAGCTTAAAATCTGGTATGTAAGGCTTCACATCAGCCTTGAACAATTTCTTCATGAGCAAAGTAACAAAAAACAGAAGCTGCTCACTAATTGGTAGCACCAAAGGGCCAAGGGTGGTGATGTTGGTCTTAAGTGCTCCACCGGCTATTGCCATCAAATCTTTAGACAACGAAACACCAGTCTTCCCAGCGTCATCCTGTTCCTGATAAACACATCGAAAAGCCTTATCATCAGCACCGCGATGAGTCCTCACGACATGAACAAGCCTATACTTTGCCCTCCTTCTATCCACAGACTTGTTAGAGAGCAGCAAAGCTGAACACCCAACACGAAACAAGCAATTCGGTATGAGCATGGATTTCTTATTCCCAAAGTAACAATTCTGAGTAATGTTCTCAGTGCTAACAACAACAGCATAAGTGTTCCTATGAACCTGCAAAAGGTCCTTGGCAAGATCAACAGCAATAACCCCAGCACTGCATCCCATTCCCCCTAAATTAAAACTCCTAATGTTACCCCTCAATTTGTACTTGTTAACAATCATAGCGGAGAGTGAAGGCGTGGGGTTAAACAAACTGCAATTCACTACAAGAATACCAATATCCTTTGGCTTAAGAGCGGTATTAAGGAATAGATTATCCAAGGCACCAAACATAACCTGTTCGGCCTCAGCTCTCGCCGCGGCGATAGACGGCCGCGGCGGGATGAAATGCATGGCCTCAGGGACGTAGGTTTCCTCCCCGAGTCCCGAGCGCTCGAGTATTTTGCGCTGGAACTCGAGGGAGGAAAGCTCGAAGTCCCCGGTGAGGCGGGAGTGCTCCATGAAGCTATGGAAGGGGGCTTTGAGGTGATCGGCGGGGCGGAAACAGGAGAAATCGACGAGGTAAACGGTGCGGGGGCGGGTGATTGCGTAGAGGGTGAGGCCGAAGACTAAGAAAGCGGAGCATATGAGGATGGTGAGGAGGTTGTATTGGAGGTGCTGCCATAAGTGGGGGAGATGATCGAGGTCTGTGGTTTGGGAGACTTGGATTAACGTGATGATCATCAAGGGGACTAAACATAGGGTTAAAAGATTGGAGATTAAGTAGTGGTAACCTAATTTGACGTACTTGAGGTTCACGCTCTGGAGGAAATCTGGTAGCACAATTCGAGTGTTTTGCTGCTGGTGCTGGATCTGAACCCCGACGGCGTCACCGGTGGTTAGTGTCATCTTCGGAATGTGAGTGAGTGAGGGAGTGAATGTAGTGGGCGAAACAACTAGACGAATAAATAGGGAGAAGATAAATATGGAAGCGCGGTTTTTGCGGGTAATTGTATTTTTTTTATTAATAAATTAATTGCAAGCGGGAAGGGTAGGGGAGGAAGAGGAGATAGAGATAGAAGATTAGATGGAGAAAAATCATACAAAAGAACAGAGAAACGGAGTAGAGAAGATACGTATGGCTTAAGTGTACTGTTATTAGAGCGGTTAATTAACGGTTCTGGGAAATGAGAGCGGCTAATGGGATTGTAATCATCTTGGGAAGGTGAGCATCGAATATGCGCCTCTCTGCTCGCGTAGATGCTGACGCAGTATCTTTTCTTCTTCTTTTTTCTGCTTTTAATCTAAAAATAAACACTCCTATATCCAATATTATAATTCCTTTTTGAAAAAAGAAGGGAGGAAAAAACTGATAATGCATTCTGAAAAGAATAGGTAGACAAAGTGATAATATTATGTCATAGAGATTGAGAAAAATATCAGGCCATGATATTTTCTATTAGCCAAGGGAAACAAAAAAAAAAAAAAACTATAATTCAGTTGCTGCATAAAAATTAAGCAAGTAGAGATGAAAGTATGTGTTCGATATATTTTTGAAAGGAATTTTAAGCATTAATTCTGAGCTACCTGGAGTAGGATTGCCTCCCTAAAGAACACTTTGGTTTATCAAAAAAAAAACATCATATCTTTTTTTTTTTTTTTTGGAGATAAAAACATCATATGCTTAGAATTCAAAATTCGGACTTGGAAAACGTTGGTTAGCATGATGTAAGAAAGGAAAACTCTGGAGAGCAGTAATTGTTGATTCAAATCAAATGGCCAGAAAATGAAAAAGAATTTGTCGATTCAGAAAACAAATCCATTTTTTTAATCGATTATATATGCACTACGTCATTCATGTCATATTCAACAACTACTACCAAATTATTATATGAACCACGTTTTTTTTGGTCATTTTTATTAAAAAAAATTCATGCTGACACATATTTTGTATAAGGGAAAAATATTTTTACAGTCACTAAAGATATAATTATCTCCGATAAACTCAAAAGACGTTGTTTTAAAGTTATAAGATTAAAAAATTATAAGAATAAAAACTAATATAACCCTAGAATATCTTATAATTACAAAAATACCTTCATTTCCATTTCAAAATGACATCATTTTGATCCCACCGAAAATAACTCGTCTCCCTTTGACAGAAACAATCTTTTACCCTTTGTATAAATATATTATAACAAAATTTATCAAGTCCTTGTCCTTCCATTAGACATTAGACACTGTACACTTTTTATGTTAAAGAACATAATATTTGGACATATATTTATTTTCATAAACTCTTTATGGACTTGTTTAAAGTTTAAATCATATTTAAAATAAAATAAAAAATCCACGTAAAAATTGTAAAAAATATAAAAGAGTTTATTTTATCACAAATTGATTGGGATTGAAAGGCAAATGAGTAATATAGTAAATCCAAGAAGAATTGTTGAAGCGCAGAAAATGGAATACAGGTCACCTCATTGAAATATGGAGAATTCTTGATAACAAACAAGCTCTGCTTAAATAGTCAATCGACTCAATCCAATGAAATACCGACAACCCGCAGATGTAGCCATTGAGAATGTATGCAGACGACCTTCATAATTCATATAGACAAAAACGAATTCAACTAATTCAAACGGGAGCATGATTAGAATTTAGAACCCAAAATCATCAAAGTCTTGGTTTATCCATATGCCGTCGTTGGATTTTTCAATAAATTCAACCATGCATTGCAGTTGGTGACATAACTTATTAATTAATAATTATGCAGCCAGAAGTGCCCGAGGAGAAAAAAATTAGAATCAAACCGTCCATGATGTCCTTAATTTCAGTATAATAATACTTCCAACCACCCGACTATTCTTGTGTTTCCCGGTATATCTGAATCTGAATTAAATCATTTCGTCATGTGATTCTTTTTCTAATAAACCAAAGAGTAGACAAAATACAGCATCACGTTACTAATAAAATATGGGCAAGTTCATCAACTTAATCAGAATACCCAATTAAAAGTTTAGTCATAACTGGCACATAGTACATCCCAGCAGAAACATAACTTTTACCAGAAGAGACGGCATTTAGTTTAGATTAATGTGGTGAGAAAAGGTCTCGACTCACAAATGAAGCCATTACTAAGCACACAAGGTCGGTAGCTCAAGCTAAAGCGCTTCCTTTAAGAGTTTTTCAGTCAGATTTTTGGGAAGTCCCATCACACTATCGGTTGTCCCTACCTGCAAATATACCCAACACTTAGAATTCATCTACCGTCAATTGGAACTAGGAAGTAAAATGCCAACAATCTTGTCCCAGCAAGAAACCAGCTAGCCATATCCCCTGCACTAGACTTGTGCAGACCATCAGCACATTGATACCAATGATTAGAAATATTAATTGAGGCAAACACAGCAGTTTCATTAAGATTTCAGTATAATAAACATGCAAATTTACCATACTAGAAAAAATGTAAAATGGTTTTGCTTCAGTTTGAGCGGTAAACAAATCCAAAGCTAAACTAACTATGGTCTATAGATTTCTAAATCAATTTTCAAGGCTTTTGCTCCCATCACCAGTCTCGAACTAGCTAAACTTTAGTCCATTAAAGATTCTTTTTTTAAAATAATAATAAGTTCTAGGTGATGAAGAAAGGAAAATTGCCATTTCAAATAAAGAACAGCTAATTGCTCAGTAAGGCCCAACAGAAGCATTCATTAGACCAGATATTGGATGGCAACATCTATAAACTAAACTATTAGGGTGCAGACAGGGAAATACAGTTCAGCCATGGGTCTGACTCGTCCTTGTCCCCCAAGGTCAAGGCACCATGTCTCCTAAGGCTATTATTGACATGCACTGACATTTCTAAGTATGAAAGAGGAGTCAACTAACCACTTCTTTGACAAATGGAAATATCAAAGGATGCTCTATTATCAGTCCCCCAGCAACGTTCAGAGTAATTCCCTCATCAACCTATACAAGAAGAAAAGAATAAAAAGCATATCAACTACTCAACTCAGCAACTGAAGAGAGTTCCTACCATAAGCATTGCCTGTACAAGAAACATCCATGAAACATTCAATCAAAAGAAACAACACATACCAGCTTCTCAATGATTTCATCAGGTATTTCATTGAAATAGATCTGTAAAACATCACAAGACAAAATCAATTCCCATATTGGATGTGAGAGAGAGAGAGCACATGTATATGTGGCCCATGAACATCACTGTGCCAAGAAACAACAAACTGAAGTTCCACAAGTCCACAGTTTGAACTAAGTAAAAGGTTCCTCTCATTAGAATTGTCAGAGAAAGGTCAGAATAATCAAGAGTAATAATAGAAGGCTTGAAAAATTGTCATGGAAACAGGAATCAGCAGGAAACATATCCCATAAGGTAATAATTGTTTTGACTTTTGATGTAATTGGTGATTCATGCACAAGTAGTATTATTCTTATGGAAAGAGGAATTGCAGGATACTAAATTCTCATATAGGGTAGTAATGGTATCAATGTGATTGTCATCTAGCATGCAGTACCTGTCAATCTTTTAGAACAGTCAAAAAATTGATAGCTGCATCTGCAAAACTTTCTCAGCTTAGCAAATGACTAGAACCCAGAACCACCTTTTCATGTTTCACTACTGATGACTTTTTACAATAGCCAATCGCTTGCAAATGTTTATCCCAAAAAAGGAACAAGGCGGAGTGCATAACTTATCTTAGATTCATTTAAAATGTCATGTAGGTAATACAAGTATATGAGATTAAAAGTCAGCTGCTGTCCCAACAAAGGGTCATTCACAGCAAGTAATTGAAGATGGATATATCTTTAAATTGAAATAAGATAAATTGGAACCACTTCTGACGTCACCATTTTACCTTTACGGCAAATTATTAGCAGTTGAAAGTAATGGTCATGAAGCATGACTTCCCCAAGTGTTATTTTTTTTTTCTTTTTGGCAGGCACATTTTTACCTTCTGACGTCACATATTGGATAGTGTACAGTTTTGGACTTTTGGTTAGATAAAATAGGAGAAAGACTGAACAATAATCACCCGAGTGCAAGAAAAGGTAGGAGCAAATAATACCTCCACACGATCCCATTCTCCTTTTCTCAATCCTGTTTTGAGGTTTGTAACTAGTACAGATCCCACAGTTGCTGCATGCCTTCCAGAATAATCTGAAATCGTGTAAAGACTCATCAAATATAAATATATAGGAGATGGTTGGAAGTTCACAACATAACCACTGTTTGTGTGTGTATGAGAGAGAAAGAGAGAGAGCAAACTATTTTTAAGTTGATAAATGAAAGGAATATAACATTAAGCAGACCTTTCAAGAATTGTCGAGCTTCTTCTTTGCTAGATGGCTTTTCCCTAATCACACCTTCATAGACCACCACCTCCAAATCATTTGATAATGAATGTAAGCTATAACTAAACTTTGACTCAGAAGAAAATAAAATTGACGAATTCAGTTACAGGCTAGTCTTGTCACCATAAGGCCATTTATTTATGAGGATAGCGAACACAAACATGCAAGTTTGGGCATTGAGAGAATGGAAGTCATATAGGGTTCCTTAATACCAGCAATTAATTTGTTTAAACACTGGACATATTATAGGCTATTAATAAACACTAGTCAATTACAGTCCATGAAGACAAAACTTCACTATTAACATCCACAAGAAGCAAGTCAGAAGGTGGGAAGAGAGAGAGAGAGATTGATAGGAAGCAAGCAAACAAAGACCACGTATAATGATAGCATTATTGAATTTTCTGCTTTTTCCTTAAAAAAAATCTCACAGATGTTGTTTCTTAAGCATGGTGATATGCAGAAGAGATACAATAGAAACTAGAAAAGAAATAATCAGAAGTATGATGTATACTTGGTCAGAAGTAATTAATAATGTTGGGTCAGCATCCTTTAAGGAGTCATCAACAGGGAGCCTTTTTAAGATGGCTTCTGCCTAAGGAAAAAATTGAGAGCAGCTAAAGTAAGTATCAAGTATCAGCCGCACGACTACAAGAGAACAGTAATATTTTATAAAGCGTGAACAATATCATGAGATCACCATGTAATTGCTTCAAGCAGAGGAAGACACAAACTAAATCCATGAAAAAAAGTCTGACGAGACAGTCAAAAACTATTAGCAACTTGATACCCAAGAACTTCATACATAGCTATTGCTCTTAAATGATTTTACAATAAGCAAGTATTTAATAATACAAACATGTCTTAAACAAAATAGAAGCATATGGTATCACAACCCAAATATCAACAAATAAACAGCATAAATCTTCAACTTTTGCATTCAATTTTCAAGAACACCATTGCGATATTCATTCAAAATGTTAGAAAGACAGAGGCTTAAGGACACTACGGAATTTTGATAGTTTCCATCAGATATATGCATGAAAACTGAAAACAAGAGGGGAGAAGATAAAACTGAAGTTTTTATAGCAACTAGCAAAAGCTCACCAAGACAGCATTGTCCTATACTTATGCAAAGGTTCATATCTCTTCACTTCTTCGTAAGAAATGACTGAAGAAGCTGGATTTGTAATTGACAAACTCGAGTACACTACATCTTCTACAAAAAAAAAAACTGTATATCCTCGATTAATAAATGGCCTGGGTGACAAGTGACAACCAACCTAAACCAGAAACACTTAACTATGGCTCAACAATGACAATAGAAGGAAACAAAACATACTGTGTCCGCTGCAATTACAACAGTTGGTTCATCGACCCTCTCTTGATTACTGGTAGTTTGAAGTTTGGATATAATGGCATTAGCCTGACACGTAATTCAGATCCAAAATCAGAAGAGAATTGATCTTAACACACACTTCCATTAAGGGAAACAAGACAGAGAAAGCACCAAAGCAGTTGACATCAGAAAGCAGTTATAGCATATCATTTTAAGGTTTCTCTACTCTATGGTAGAATTACAGCCAAAATATCAATTATCTAATCTCGTACAGCACTAGCACCAAGATTGCTTTGCTGGTTCTTCTGTAATGAGAAAATAGCTTTCATAATTTCGTGGTTTGATAATTGATATGTTAGCAGAAAACAAAGTTACTACAGACCATCAACCAATAAGAAAATTAAACAGTATCAGTAATTCCATTTACGGAACCAAAAAAAAAAAAAAGAACACAAACCTTGGCTTCGGCTAGAGCCATAACTAACTCTTCTGGAGTTTCCTTTCGGATGCTCTTCTCATCAATATCTGCAGGCTACATGTCACAACAAAGATTAAAGCTACACGTGAAATGAAACAGAGAGTAATTTCATGCATAGTCAGATATGTACCATTATAGTGAATTCGTATCCCATTTCGGATAATATCTTGCGGCGTGGGACCGAGGAGGAACCCAATATAATCTGCAAATAGCGCGAGTTAACTGCGAAAATGATAATGACTAACTAGCAAACAGTAACCACAAATCTAATGCTGTTTTAATTGATACGAAGTAAGGGATTTATGTGAGTAATTAAATTGAAGAAGAGACGTGGATGATGGAATTGGAACCCTAGATCGGAAGCAGCATTACCTTGTACGAAGAAGTGCAAGCTTCCATCGCAAGCTCTAACTCGAAGTAACGAAAGGAATGGCGGGAACAGACGAAAAATGGAACGAGAGCTACACTGAGAAAGTGCACGCGGACGACCCAAATTAAAATTCAGTTTAGAAATTAGAACCCTTGTGTTTAGTGTTGTAAATTTTCTTTCTCTATATAGTAAAGGTAAGTAACTCCAGCTGAGTACGACAACGTTTTCCAATTCGTGAGCCATGGAGCATTATCCTACCCCAATTATTTAATGATTAGCAATAGAGGGATACACAAATGTTTGATGGGTAATGTTTTCATCCTTTCACATGATATAATCAATTTTTTACGCACACATAAAAGTGAGCTCATCAATTTTTTTACTTTTTATTTTTATTTTAAAAATAGTGGCCCCCACAATTGATTGTCTATATGACATGACCTAAGAATTTTCCTCCAACATAATACTTGTTTTTTCTATGTTTTATATGATACAGCTAAGGGATATAATTATCTCATGTTACATAAGATAATTATCTCATGCAACATGAGATAAATAGATTCATATAGATAATAAGATATAATTTTTCACGTGAAATTTTAACAACATATTTTTTACCTTGCATCTTATAGTTCTTTTCCAATATAAATCAAATACGATAATAATTTCATAGTTGTTAATACTTTTTTACGAAAAAGGGGCTAGACCCCAAAGAAACAACAAAAACAAATATCAAGAAGACCTAATACGGCGAAAACTACTAACAGAAACTAAATATGTGAACCACATAAATTTTGAATCCACAGAGGTCACCAAGAGAAAATTTGAGAACCAATCTGCACAATAATTTCTTTTTCTATAGATGTGAGTAAGATATATCCTCTGATCCTTCTTTAACCATGTCATAATGTGAGTCATTAGATTAGACTCACATGCTACTCCACCTTTTTAGGAGAGCATGGTGATAAAGTTTGACAAATCACTTTCAAATGTAATGTGCCTCCATTATCCTTTCCAAGTACATTGGAGTCCTTTTAAGGCACCTCGAAGCTTCGTTGTAATGACTGAATAAGTATCAATCGTATAAGTATAATCCTGAAGCCATTTTCTCGTCATGTCTCGAAGAATACTATAATAACTTACCCAATAAAATAAATAATTAGAGATTATTTTGTTGATAAAAAATGGTAAAATTGAATTAAGAATATAATTTTGTGAGTTTGGACATTTTTTTGGGGAAAATGTGAATAGTAAATTTTACCAAGTAAAATGCTATTGTGCAATTTTACCGGAAAACTCATAAATGATATTCTTGTTATAAAAATAAAATATATGCCAAACAAGTCATTTAGGACCAAGAAAATAATTATGAGAATTATTTGGGGTCAAATTATAATTTTGGTAAAGTTTAGGAACCAAATTGAAATTATGCAAATATTGGCTTAAACTCAATTATGATATAATAATATGATTCTTTAGGGGATTTAATGTCATGAAAAATAATATTATTTAAGTTGGATTACTGTGAAGATTAGGTTATAAATTAGTGTACACCTAAGAATTAAATGACAAATTATAAGAGTTTAAAAGTCAAAGTCAACAAAAGCCTTAACTTAAGTGACTTAACCTTTATTTTATTTCACTTTCCTACTCTTTCTCCTTCTCCCCACGGTAAAATCGTGCCTCTCTCCATCATTGTGCAAGTTTTTCTTCTTTTTATTTTATCCATTAAAACCATAAACTATCAACATGAAAGTGATTGCCTAGTGTATTAGGAGTAAAACCTTGATCTTCATTCTCCTTGGGTTGTTTGGAATCAAAAGATTTCATCTACTCTCTATTTTCGTGGTATTGTTCATGATGTAGAAAAAGTGATGTTTTTCAATGATTTAAAGCTTGGAAGTTGATCTTTTGGGTGCTTGAGATTTATTAGAGGTAAGAAACTCCATTTTAATCGGCTGAACCCTTGAGTTTTGAGCTAGGGTTTCATGAACATGTAAGAGGAAAATTTTGAAATTTGAAATGTATGAATAGTGGGGTGTTTGTTGATGGATTATATGTGTTGTTTAGTCTAGAATTGGATACTAGCTTGAGGTTGTATTGGAAGCGTGGAAATTGTTCGACTTCGTATGCGTGCACTTCAACCTAGAGGAGGAATTGGTACTTGGAGTCATGAATTATGCTACTTGAGGATTGAAAGACCAATTTAAGATTATTCATAGCAATTTCAAGGTAAGAAACACCTACCATATTGTGAAAATTGTGAGGATTGCTCTATGTATATGTTTCGGCCTTTGCATGTAAAAATAAGTTTAAATTGTTCTTTGAGTTATTTCAAATAATGGTGAACGTATCCTAAGTGTCATCATGTGTAATGGAATGATTTGGTTGGTTATTGAATGCTTAAGAATGTGAAAATAGCTTAAGAAACCTTTAGGCAATATGTATGGAAATTGATGTGGAAGGCATGATAGCTTTGCATTGTTAATGAATGGTGTAAGTTAGATAAGGAAATGTGCAAAGATGAAATTATGGGTATTGGAAAGCATAAAAATCCTATGGACCCTTTTATGTGGGCTTCGACCATTGAAGGGAAACATGAGGTGTAAATGTGTTTTTAGTGTCATTTAAGGGATGTATGTGACTTATGATCTAAGTTAACATAATTAGAACAATTAATGAGTTACTCGAACCATGTGAACTTGTAGTGAACCTTGAGGTTACCTTTTAGGCAATATCTTGAGAAATAAGTAATTAAAGTTGTGTAAGTTAGCATTGATGCTAAGTACTAGCCATTGGATAAATTGATGGCAAATGGACTAGATAATAACCATTGGAAGCATGTAGTTTGATGGAATGCCTATTGAACATGGTATGGATAAGTACACTAAATTGTTGATTATGTGAAACTTGGTAATGTGGAATGCCCTAAAGGCTTGGCTTAACCCTTTTAGGGTAATTGTTGTTAGAAAGCTTGAGAAATGGTATTTAATACCTAGAGGGTATACACTATGTCATTTTAAGTACAAATGAGTATGAAAATTAAGACATTGGCTTGGTTAAAGAGAATATGATAATAAATGGTCCTACTTGATAATTATAAAGTAATTAGCTATGACTTGTGTTTGGCATATATTGGCATGAAAACATGTTAAGTAAGGTTATGACATAAATGAAATGCATTAGACTGATTGGAATGTCATATGTGATATTTAAGGAATCATTAAAGTGTTAAAACCTTGTATGTAACACTTGAAATATGACCTATATAGTTTTGGTTTGTGTTGGTTCCTACTCTAGATTTGAGCTAAGGGACGTTGTGTTGGAAGACCAACAATTAGAATAAGGTGCCTAGCTTTCTTGGAGTGCAAGTAAGCTTGGTTGTAAAGCTTTGTGAGGTAAGCTTTCAGACCTTGGGGTTAATCCTTTTTTTGTTCCACCATGCCCTAAAAGGGTAGTAGTTTTTATACATAGTTTATGTGTTTGCATTTGGAATTGATATAATGCATGTTATGGGCGTTTGTTATTGTGTGCGGCATATGAGGGTTAATGCCTTATGTCGGGTATAGGATGAGTTCTTATTACTGGTATGTTGCAAAATGTTGAGTAATTCATACATTATATCTTCTCTGGCCAGTAGGACTTATATTTACACGCATAGCATTGACATAGACTGCATTATTTTGATTACTCTATTTATACTGTATGCCTGAAGTGAACTATGGGATGGAGGAACCTCCAAGGACCCCTAGTTTACTGAAATGTTATCTCACCCTATGTTTTGGGAACCCCCTTTCAGGTACAAGCACTGATGATCCAAGAGCGTCTATAGTAGGAGGCCTATGTAGACAGAGCTCTATGATATGTTGATGTGGATATTTATGCATTTTATCGTTTATGTTTACAACATGCTATTTTGAATTACTATAGTATGACATATTATGTTAATGCATGAAGGGACTTAGCCTATGATCATTGTTATGTTGTATCTTTCATGTTGTCGATGCATGTTGTAACACCCCGTGTGCACCCGATGTATTAACATGCATATGATATTAAACGCATCATGTTTAAGTAAATAAATGCGGAAGCTCAGCTGTAAATTCACTACTAGTTCTAATATGAAATGTGAATAAACTTTTTCTTTTTCCTCATGTATTGCAATTCACCAATTATTTCTAATCCAATTAATATTGTGTGATACTCTCTTACACCTCAGGTTCTATTTAAAATAAAACAGACGCCATCTCCTTTGTATTTGGAGGCTTTGGGGATTAATCCCATATAGAAAAAGGTACCTAATCGATAGTTTAATATAATCCAAGTATAACACACTATGTCTGTTAGTCTAACCGAAAATCCGTCAATGGATTCTGACACATTGGGCTCAAATATACATAGATGTATAAATCATATTGCCAGCAATCTGTTGCTTAGGCTATCACATACATAATAGGTCTCGAAATAATGTCCATAGTGTTACTTACATGATTACATCAACCAACCAAAAGAAATGTAATTAGGTAAGTAACATAGACCTATGCATACATCATTAACAATATGCATAAACTATCAATCTGACATAGACATCCCCAATGCTCTCTAAAAGAATACATGGCATATACATCTCAAAAGATAATAAATCATACATCATGTCATGTATATATCAAAATACTAGTCTATGTCCATATGTCATATCATGACTCTACCCTGGCCTCATGTCATGTGATGCCTCAGCACCATCAGTTTCTGTATCTAGAATATGTCCCCAGACGAGGAAAGATAATCATCTCAATAAACTACGGGTCCTTGGAGGGATCCTCCACCCCTAAGTTCACTTCAGGTATAATGATATGCCTCTAGCATATATATGATTTTAAGCCAAAAAAAGAAAGAATCTTGATTAATCTTGAATGAAAAGGGCTATAATTACTATTAAAATGATAAATCCTAATCAGGTATATTTTTGCTAATTTTCTTATATTTTTGTAGGAAAAAGGACGAGAAAGAAACCCAATTGAGTAGCACGGGAAGCACATGAAAGTTTTAAATCTTAAATCAGAAAGTATCTGGAGGAGATTGAAATCAAGAGATATGATCAAGATTTGAATCAGAGGAAAAAGTCTATAAAAGGGAGACAA